AACTTGTTATTATGGAATATATCTTGTTTTGAATGGCCACTTCGAGTAAAAAGCATTCCCTTGTTAGTAATAAAATCGCTGACAGTGATTGTGCTGAAGCGCTCTCCGAATAGCTCTTTTGATTCAAGAATGTTTCAAGCTTGTCCCCCTGTCGCTTCATATTGGGTCTATGATCGAAGATGGTCAAAAGTGGACTCTTCATACTGGGCCTATGATCGAAGATGTTCAGAAGTGGACTTGATCCATGTTTTGCTGACCGTAAACGGCCTTTCTGATTATCAGTGGCCGAAGGAATCAGTGTTGAATCAAAAGTGGCTAAACGTGACCAAATTCTTTTTGACGAATTCGGCGTCTACTCCGTATCTAGAGGAACCTACTTTAGTTATGTCAGGAGGGAGGGACTTCCTTATATGTGTCAATGACAATCACAAATTTTTTCCGTAGTTTTGGCACGAAAGTGACAGGAGGAGGGAGTGGCCGTAAGGGCACACGCTAATAGTGTTGTGCTTAACATAACATAACATATGTACCTATAAATTAGTTTGTTGGACCTCAGTTTCATAGAATGTGGCTAATTTGCCGAGCATTCGGGATTGAATGTGTCATTTGATTGATTATAATATGTTTTGAAAAAGGAAATCCATGCATAAGCGGAATAAGTGCGATGAAAAGAATCTTGTATCAGTAGATAAGGAAAGCGGATATGTGAAACGTCCTCCGTGATGCTCAAAGGGTCGAGCATGATTCGTATCAGATTACCTCTCCATATTCCCCTATACTCAAACTGCGAAAATCCTAATGCGTGGCATCGAGTGTTTGGATTCAGACCTGCAGATCAAAAGCAGAATTAATTTAAAGTGCTTTAGATTCAAGTCTACCTCTCTCCGCGATATTCTACGAAGGAGTTCTGCGATTTGGCGCTGATGTTTCTTCCGATCAGAATGACGACTGAGGTGACACAGTTTTGGCTATTAATTGCAAAGAATAAAAGTGCTCGTTTAGGAACACAAAAAATACGGTGCTACTTTGTGGTTTGAGACTATGTGGAAGATGTATGAGGTGGTTGAAATGGGAAGTAAATGGGGTGACGAACTACCAAATTTGTTTGCAACGTAACGCTTTGTCACTTTTTTGTGTGCTTGAAAAACTTTTTAGAGATAAAATTTTTTAGACTTGCTTATAACAATCCTGACTTCATGGATTGGTCGCCATTATATGACACGATATTTACGCGAACTATTCGTTCATTGGGGCTTAGTATACGTGAGGGAAAAGTTTTAGTGAGTTGCATAATAATGAGAGACCAGATATTATTTGGTTCTCAGGCCATGGATAAACTTTAGGTTGGGGAAACTGTTGGTGCGTTAAGTGTGGGCGGTTTAGCTCGAATGGTAGTAGCGACGTTAGGTGGCCCATATGGGTAAACAGAGTGCAAGCTTTCTCTTTGACATGTACAGAAATATGTACTTTTTAGGTGTCAAAAACATCTAGAAAGAATGATGCAGTTGATTGAGCCGTTTATGCATCCTTCAAATGAAAGTAGCCATACTCTTCTTGTACTAGTCTTTTTACAAAATGTTCTTCAAGAAATGGTCAACCGATACAGAGAAGAAAGGATTAAAAAGAATAAACGAACGGTTTGTTCGTTTTTGGACTTGTGCCGCTATAAGCTAGACATGTTTCTCAGATCGATTGACAGTAAAATGAAGTCGTGTTTCTAGGTTCCAATAAAGTTTTACTTAACTGACGATGATATTGACAATTTTACTGATGCTATACTGCAGTCATTGCTCTATTCACTTTATACAAAAGACGGTAGAGCAAGCAAAGTTAGCTACAGAATATGCTCTTAAAGTACGAAAAGAAAATGTTTCTTTCTTTTTAGGCACCCGCGAGATTAGTAATGATACTTGGATCGTTATGCCCAGGACGTGTGTTCCCGAGATTTTTCGAGCAGTAAGTTAACCTCGGAGATATCAGTAGCAAGTGAGCAGTTAGTAACCTCTTACCCACAGTGCATATACTGCCATCTTTGCCGTTGATGAGCCACACCGTCTTACGCAAACAATGAATTGCCTCTTTGAAATGGTTTTTCTAATCGCTCACGATGACGATCCTAACACGAAGAGATTGGCGTGTCAAAGGGACTGGATCGAAGAAATGGAAAAGGTTTACAATCAATCAACTCCTAGGAACGCCTTACAGCCGATCTTCCGTAAAAACAAACTTTTAGGCTCGCTCACCAGTATCGTCAATAGCTAAATACTCGTTGAAAAAGCTAAATGAATCTGTGCCATTTAAGATGAAAGAAAGCCTTACCGGGTTTCGCTGCCATTTGTTTTACTTTCTAGAGTTGCTAATTGAAGGTATCGATATAAATGATGTTGCGAAAGCTAATATCGCCATACACGTTAGTTTCCTTACATTTTGGTCACTGCGGTCTAGTCAACGCCTACCAAACAAAATAACCCTTGCAGAATCTTATGCTCATTTTCTTCATAGTCCCCATCCTCGATTATTCTGAATGCATCAAGTATCATAAAGATTTGACTAACGAAGAAAAGGCTTTATGCGTAATGTCTGTACGGCTACCCATTCTTGCCGAAATGGCACTTGATAAGTAAGTTTATCTGCTCACTGTCTCCGAAATACTGATAAAATCCGAGTAAATAGAGCTTCAAAGGATGGGCGCCAGTCAAGCGATTACTTTTTACTTATGGATTCCATTTAGGATGCTTGGTATTATTGAGTCCCTAGCTGTGACTGCACCGAAAGATTCGTCAACTGTGATTGGAAGTTTTAAGGTAAGTTACAATTCTCAAGCTGCATATGCACTGCATATCCTCTTGGGAAACTTACAATTAGCTATCTGACAGTGTCGCATCACACAAAATACCAGGTACAATATTGTGTCGCCTTCCCTCTTCTTCCTTTGTAAAAACTAATTACTACATTGCCGCTTGTTTCTGCTAGATAAAGATGATTAAGTAGTAGAAGCAGAATCAAATAGATTGATTCCTATCTCAGTATTTAAATGTTTTTGGCTATTATTAGCATCCAACAGCTATGTTGTTACTATTAGTATCATCTACCTCTGATTTCTTTCTTGAAGAAATCCATTGGAAAAGAGAGAATGGCTTAAAAAGAAATTTATTGAGTATGCCTTTTACCCTGGCTTCTCGACAACGCGTCGACCTTAACGCAACATGATTAGAAGATGGTTTACAATTTTGAGGTTTTTAGAGGTGATAGGCAAGAAGACTAAATGACTGATTGTGGGAGTCTTTGATGACTAACTTCATAACACTACATAGCTTTATGGGAGATTTGAACGCTACGCTTTAACTTGACTGTTATTCTTTGAAAAAAATGCATGTTAGAATCAGCGTAAGTCGGCCGGCTAGCTTCTTCTCACGTACAATGATAGTTTCTCACAACTGCTTGCGGATTGTTTGTGAAAACTTTCTTAGCACATTTTCATTCTTCTCCAACATACCTTCCATACCGCTCTTTTCTACATTTCATGCTGAAACTCATATTATAACGTTGTTCCAGGATGTTGTAACAAAGGAAGGCAGCGAAGAGAAAATCTTGAAAAAAGCAATCAACCGCTGTTTTTCGGCTATTTTCAAGAATTCTAGTGATGTGGTTACGGCGGTAAGCTGGCAATCTCACCTAACCTTCTTCTGGTTATTACTTTAATTTTAGAAACTTGGACGTAAAGTCTTGGAATTCGTGAAGACAAACCAGTTTGAAAGCTCACTTGCGACTGATATGCTATCTTCTGTGGTAGCTTCAATGACCTATGTTGGTTTATATGCACTCATGCTCGCTGATACAATGTGGCATATACAAATTGGATTCATTTAAGGAACTACCTTCTTTCTGGGTACTCTTCGCTGAGCATGTCCTTCGCAACCTAAGAGTGGTTCTTACCCGTAAGTACATGATGTACTATGAAAGACTAAGTCCCTGAATAAACGCAAAATGGAAGATGGTTAATATCATGGTAGTCTCGCCCAATTTTTTTGTACTCATAACAATTCCAAAGAAATTTAGCGTAAGTGTCCAATCAAGAAGCAGTTCTTTTGCATGATTTCCAGTGGCAAAAGAGAAGGTTACGAGCAATACATTCTTACCACTAATCACGAACCTTGAATACTTTGGCAT